ATCTTCCTCAATTTGCCTCGAGCCTATTAAACGGGCCCATAATACTTGGTTGATGAACTTTTGGAATGCAGAAGTACCCCTGCAATGGGGACAGTGGTTGTTTTCTGGGCTCAAGTTGTCCTGCGCAGCAACGAATAAAATGCATTATTGCACCGGATCTCTTGGCCCAACTTTAAAGGCCAGTTCAATTCTCGTGAGGTCACGAAAAGATAATTTTGACATCTCACCTAGCTTGAAATTGCCCCGTCGGCTCCATTCCAAGAAAAATAAAAACTAGGTCAGGTAACTAGGGTCCAAATAATTTGCATGCATATGACATATGGCTTTAATTAATGAGTAAGCAGCTTGAAACTGCCCAAGAGATAATTAGCTTGAACTTCACTATCCGGTCCGATGGGTTACGCGCCTCAATAAAGAAGTGAGAGATCACTTGTTCTAAGGATTAAATTTTTAGTTACTAACAATTCTTAACTTAACTACTAACAATTATTCTTGTAAAAAAAAAAAAAAGAAGAAGAATAGATAGCTAGCTCGGGACCAACTCCAAAATAAATAATGTTGTTTGGTGTGACTAATAACTTTCTTTTTCTTTTTTTTTTTCCGACCATGTGGTATATGATCCATATAATTATCGACAAATGAGAAGATAATGGGTTTTTAGGTTGGTTGTTGGTAGAAAAGTGATTGTGAAGGATTGGAAGCAATGTCTAGTTTTAGTTTTTATCATGAAAAACATTTTTTTTTTTTAAAGTAATTGACTGTTTAACATTGTTAGCTTGAATTTTTTATTTTAATTTTAAATTAAAAATTTTAAATTAATAATTATTACAAAGACCAAGTTTTTATTGGAACTATCAAATATTATTCTAACCAAATGGTCTCAATTATCTAAATTATTTTTTGTAAAATATATATTCAGTGGAAAACCTTTAATTAATATTACTTTGATGATCAAATGACAATAAAAAATATATATATTACTTTGACCAAACAGCCCTCAAAGCACACTATATATAACTTAAAACCATGCATGATGCATGCATGCATACATACCATTTTCTTTTAATTACAGTAATTTTTTTTTGTCTATTAATTTTAAATATTTTCGTTCTTCTTGATTTTATTATCCTAGAGCCATCATGATCACCTCAAGAATATTGTCACGCATATTTGATCATATGAATTGAAAATTCATTTTTGTCATTGATATCCGTCCACCTCTCATACTTTTTAGGAGATGCTTTTGGTATCCCTTGTATTTTCGTAGTTACTGCTTAGTACTTTTCTATGTCCGAATGTAGCTGATACTAAATGATCAAATGAATGGTATCTTAATACCAACAAACAAAAATGAGGTCATGTTTACAAAAAAATGATTCATGTTTTATAGTTTGAATTGTATTTAATTATAAAATATGAATAATTAGATAAAAGAGGCGGCCTCTAACATTATAGGGTCTATTCTTATTTTATAATTAATGTTGTATAATCAACTAAATTGTACAAAATCTTATTTATTACAAGAAAAATAGTATTATGCACATGAAAACAAAATTGGAATAACTCTAGAATTTTTTTTTATGGGAATAACTCCAGAATTGATCGTTCAATTGAAAAAGAGAACCCTCTCATATCCTTTTATTTATTTAACCAATATACATGCCATAACTCATGATTTTTTTACTTTTATTAGAAGAGATTACACTAATGATATATTGGGTTGAGTAAAAGAAATTTCGTTTTCCTTAAATAAGATTTTGATATCAAATTTTATGAATGAAGAGACAAGTGATAGGAGACCTTTCCTTTTATGAGATCGTATCCGGTTTTACTCTAAATTAATTGACATTGAATGTAATTTTTAGATTATGAAGATTTAGTATCGAAAAAACTAAAGGAAACCAATTAACTATGGTTGTCAACCACAAGCCCAAAAAAAAAAAATCCAAACGCCCAAAAAAATCTTTAAATAACACAAAACCACAAGGGCAAACAGCCCATCAGGTCGACTGGGCCTTCAAACTGTTGAAGCCTTCAGGCCCTTGAACGGTTGAACTTTGATGGGCTAACCCCGTACCGACGCTTCGTACATGGTGGGATTTGAATACAATAAAAAGGGAAAGGACTAATTGGTAAATAAAGGATAACCCAGGACCAGGAGCAATTTCTTCTTGGTTCTTGACGAGTCGAGGAAAGAAACTGAGAACGGAGAATTACTCAGTCGTCAGTCCTTCGTCGCGCCCATAGCCGGATCTGAACCCTAATCGTTGTAAAGCTCCGGTAGGGTAGAAGAAGAGCTCCAGCAATGGAGGAGTTGAGATCAGCTCTCGACGACCACATGAATCAAATGGCGGATCTCGTTCAGAAGCTCTCTTCGGAGCTCCGCTCGAGCCTCCGACCAGCCTACGACAATTTCATGGGATTCTTCCATGCAATCGATTGGAAGGTAACCCATCCACTCCCTCCATCATGCTATTTCTGTTTGGCTGTCGAGAAAACTCAAGAAATGGAAGAAATTCCAATTTTCTTTTGTTGTTTTGTTGGAGTAGAGAATGATTTCGAATATATAGATCTGAGATTTATAATGCATGTCGGTTTGTTACTCATTAGATCCTTTTTGTTATCTTTTATAGTAGCATTGCATGATTGTTTGATTCTATATCTATCTGTAATTCACTTAAAACCATTTGCTTATGCTAAAAACTACTTTAATTTGACTAAAGCAAGCTGCCATAATTGATAATGGTATGGTTCACGTAATGCTTTACCCAATATATGTTTTTTATGAACTGAGACTAAGAATTCGTAAGGTTGCAAGAATTGCAATGGAGGTTTTATGAATTATTCCAAGTGATGGAAACTTACATCTGAAAGCTTTATAGATTTTAATCCTTTGTGAGAATCACATTAAGTCTGAGGCCTATCCTTTATATTTTTTTTAATAATCAGAAAGGCTTTCGGCATATTTTCATTTGACTTCAGGTTCGATCAACTATTTAACAAGATCCCTTCTACTTATTACTTTTTGGCAGGAACTGTGGTTAATGGGCTTATTGGCATTCCATTTTGTTTTACTCATTATAACCTTACTTTCGAGGAAGAATACCAACTTCCAGATGTGCCTGTTCCTGTTGTCGTGTAAGTTTTCTTTTATATGATATCTGCAAAAGGAAATCCATATTTGAGCACTGAGATCTCAGTCCATGATTTTCCATTTTATGCTTTTTAATTTTTAAAGTTTGTCTCACTCTTATTCTTGTAAGGCACCTACTTTACACCAATTTGTTGTCTGCAATTATTTATTTTACCGTACTAGGAATTTCCAATTGATGAAATCATACTTCATACCGCAAAGTTACCAGCATCAATCTTATGGTGAAGCCTTCTAGTGGCTTAAACAATCTTGGAGGACTGAGCAGGATCTTAAATCATGCTATGGACCTTCTGTCATTTACTTCTGTAACATTTAGTTAGGATGCAACCATTAGCATCAATGCAGTGTGAACTAATGCAATGTGAACTCCTAACGTTCTTTCAAAATTTATCTTACATGTGTGATAGTATGTTTGTAGTGGCTGGTGTATATCTTGCTGAGAGGCTCAATAAAGTCCTCAGCAACAATTGGAAAAGATTTGCAACTCAGAATTACTTTGATCCAAGTGGACTTTTTCTGTCAGTCCTCTGGTCTGGGCCTCTTCTTGTCATTGCAATCATCATCTTGGTTAGTTTTAATGATCATTTCACCCCGTGCTCCTTTTTCTTTTCTTCTCTGCTTCCTTCTCTGGCCCTGAACTCAATTTCTTTCTGCAGGTAAACACCCTCTTTAACTTGTGTTACATGATTGTTAGATGGAAAAGGGCTGAGCTCAGGCATCGTGCAAGGCTTTCTCGTAACAAGCAGGATTAACATACCTTCCACTGCATTTCTGTGCAGGACACTTTCTAGTTTATAGCGTGTTCATTAGGGCTTCATCATTTATATTTTTTTTAGTTCTTTTCATATTCTGAGAGTTGTTGCTTCCCTTCTATACAGCCGCGGTAGAAGTTAGACCCACTACAGGCCGAGCTTTCTTCTTATGTTCTTGTTGGTGTAAATCTAAATTATCACATCACTGGAGATATGCTCGAGCCTTGTGAATCATTTAAGTTTTGAAACAATTAATACACTGACATTGGTTCTCTTTATCATTTTTGAAGATATGGAGTTATGGACTGACTACCTGAATAACTAAATAGATCAAAAATGTTTCTTTTTATTTGGGGGGGGAATCACATTTTAGTTTTTGAAGTTAAGCTTATTCCCTGTAGCACGAATCTTTTTTTATTTTATTTTATTTTATTTATTTATTTTGTAGTGTTGGATATATCACACGCAGTTCCTCCCCATTGAAAAATCAAGGTTAAATCCCCATTTTGGTCCCTCAATTATTGTACGGACCCCCGACTTAGTCCCTCAACTCAAAAAATCTCTGATTTGGTCTTTACTGTTTACCATTTTTACTCCAATTTAGTCCCTCCGTTAAAAATCCAATGATGTGTCACGTTAATTAACTGCAGCATGATGACGTGTTTAAATAGAGTGACACCTCTTATGCATACCTATAAAAATAAATGACATGGCAGTATGATTTTGATCCAAAACTAAAAAAAGAGTGGGTCTCACTTGAACCCTTCTCCTCCTTTCTTCCCATTCGAACTTAGAACAACAGAGCTCTCTCAATTTATCAGCAAGAATCCACAAAAAAAAAAAAAAAGAGAAATTTTTTGTATTTTTCCTAGTTCCCAGTTCCTCAATTCCTTCATCAATCAATTCTTCGTCATCATGAAACAACAAGATCCATAGAGAAAAAAAAAGCAGAATTTTTTTTTACTTTTTGCTCTTGGGTTCGTTCGAACCCAGGAAGCCAGGAATCCACCTGGGTTCACCCAGGAAGCCAGGCATCCACCTGGGTTCGAAAGAACCCAGGAAGCCATGTGTCTTCCTAGGTTCGAACAAACCCAGGAGGACGCCTGGGTTTGTCCTCTTCCTCGGTTCGTTCAAACCCAGGAAGATGTCGAACCCAGGTGTCCTCCTGGGTTCGTCCTCCTCTTGGATTCGAACGAACCCAAGGCCTGGGTTCCTTCGAACCCAGGAAGAGGTCGAACCCAAGCGTCCTCCTGGATTCGAAAGAACCCAATAAGCATTGGGTTCAAAGGGGAAAAGAAAAGGAGAGAGAAGAAAAAAAAAAAAGAATTTTTAAAGTTTTTTTTGACATATTTTTTTCCATGTTATCACTTTTTTCATGCGTGGATATGATGTGGCATGTTATTTTGACACGTCATCATGCTGCAGTTAATTAACATGACACGTCATTGGATTTGTAATGGAAGGACTAAATTGGGGTAAAAATGATAAACAGTAAGGACCAAATCAGGGATTTTTTGAGTTGAGAAACTAAGTCGAGGGTCCGTACAATAGTCGAGGGAACAAAATGGGGGTTTAACCAAAAAACAAACAAAAATTTAA